CCCGAGCCCTGCCATGAGGGGTGCTGCAGGGATCAGGACAGAAGCCGCAGCCAGGGGATAGGTCCAGCCCAGGCTGGGCTGGGTCTCACCGCTCTCCTCTCCATGTCCTTGGCCTCAGTGATGTACTTGTGGATAAGGCGGCTGTCGCAGACCAGGCGGGTCGGGCTCATCCTGGACAGCCGGACGTGCAGGAGGAAGGCTGTGAGGAGCAGCAGGCCTGCGGGACCAGAAAGGCAAGATGCTACGCACTGGATTTCCTAAAGAGCTGGGCAGGAGCAGAGCTCCCCTGGCCCCTACAAGGAGTGGGGTTCCCTGCCCCCATCACTGATCTCTGTGTGCTGCTGGCCCAGTCTCAGTCGCTCCCTGCTGTGCATCACATGTGCTGCTCTGCCTGGGGTGGTGCCAGGCAGCTTCCAGGCTGGCGCAGCCCGTGCCAGCCACGCCGGCTGCATCACATGCATGAGAGTTGCTTGCCACCTCCTGCAGCTTCGCCACACGTACGCACCCGCAGCCAGATGCTGCTGGGTGCAGACTGCGCTGGGCTGCAGGAGGGATGGCTATTGGCACGGAAACACCTTCTCTGCGGCCTGACGTGGCCTGCTTGTGGGTGGCAAAGGGGCCGGCATTTCCCATCCCCTGCAGGCTGGGCATTGCGTCTGCTCCTACCCCCATGACCCTGGCTAGCTCTGAGCATGGTCTTCTTCCCAGACCATCAGCCTAACACAACTGCTCCATCACATTTTCTTTTCTGTTTTTTAATTTGGTCCCATCTCTCCTAATAACGACCCCTTCTATCATCCCAAATCATTCCTGCCCTGCCTCCACAAGGTCAGGTTTGCCCCACACAATATACAAGACATTCCTATTGTGCTGTATGTCCTGCCAGAGGAAAATTGGGCATTTGGTGTTGATAGAAAAAACAAGCCCTTTAGGTTTACAGCGAATGTTTGTGCACTGTCACTCAGCTCCTTGGCTTCTATGTATATCTCCTGACACTGGAGAGGCACTGTGTCAAACTACTCATATACATACATGAATTTGAATCCAGGGTCTGAGCTCTTTTGGTCTTTGCTCACTGCGGTCTCCGATCATTTATGTTACGCTGAACAAGTCCCAACCCCTAATTAATATCTCTTCTCCGATACAAAGATCTAAAATGAATGTGGGAAGTGGAGTATCTAGTATTGGCCACTGTCTGTTACAGCATCTCTCCCTCCTGCCCGGGCCGGGCCAGGCAGCCCTTCTCCCATCTACCTTCTTGCTTCCCCTCCCCGCTCTGCACTTGTCCCGCTGCAGTGGTGGCTGAATCCACGCTGTTTATGGTGCAAATGTGACCGTCTGGCCCGCGTCTGCCACCACCGCACCCGGGGAGCTCTGGGGGCGAGCACTTGAGCACTGAGCTGGGACTTGTTTCCGCGTGCATGAAGGTGGGGTTGATTTTCAGTGAAGGGGCGGATAATTGCCACTCTGCCCCCTGCAACCCAGGGTTCACTCAGGGCAGGGGCTGACCCTGCTCTGGGCAGGAGCCTGTAGTATCCAGGCCATGGGAGTGGTGACCGAGATGGGGACAAAGCCTGGTCTTGGCATTCCCCCTGCAGGGCCCTGCGCAGAGCTCTGCACACCTGCTCCCGGCTCCAGGGCTCCCCGTTTAGGGTCCCTGATGGGCAACGCTTGGGGGCACCTAGGGCTGCTGCACTCACTGGAGCTGCCTGTGGGAGCCCAAGCCATCCAGGTGCTCCAAGGCAGCTCTGTTGCCAGCATTTCCTAGCCTCCTGCTACCTCGCTCCCTCCCCACTGCCCAGAACAGCCCCCTGCCGAGTGGAGGTTGGTCTTCCATAAAGAAGACCAGCCTGGCAGAGCTGGCAGTGCAGCAGCATGGGCAGCATTACCAGCCCCCTAGGCCTAGGGCCAGGTCCTGTCTCCCTCAACCCTGGCACCTAAGAGCCAAGCCCCTGGAGAAAGGGTGGCCCCCAACACACCTGCTTAGGTGGGGCAGGATCCGGCCCTGGGGTCTACA